GTTCTCTAAATTTTGGGAAAAAATGAGATTTGAGTTAAAGAAACAGAAATACGTATAAATATACATATATTATGAAATTGTCAATATAAAAATAACTTTTTTATATTTTTTTATTAATGTTAAAATTATTTTTGAAATCATCTAACCAAACAAGTTTTTTATCTCAAAAAATATCAAAACCATTTTCTTAAAACTATTTTCTCAAAAACTGTTTTCGGATATTATTTTTTGAAACGCAAACCAAACAAACCCTATGTTTTTCTAGTTAAGGTTAGATTGAAGCTTTGCAGTGCCAATTTTGGGATCAATTGAACAATGTTCCGACCCCAAATTATAATCCTAACCCCAAATCGATTATAGGTGTATGGACATATAAGTATATAATTGCAATTTATGTTAAAATCGACCTGAATGACAGTTCCAAAATAAAATGCAGTCCAAAACACTGTACCAACTAAGCCTATCCTCATTACACACTGAATGGGAGAAATTATCTTACCACGTACTGATGCCTCATACTAAATTGACCTATGTTACAAGTAACATCAGTTTGATCATTGAACAAACTCACAAATTTCAAGTAAAACTGTTATGGTGGACAGAAATTAAATCAATTTCATATTTCCACTTGAAATCTTATGCCAAGTTAAAATACTATAGGTAAAAGATTGATGCAAAAGCATGGAAAGTGAAATATTGAAGCTACCGGATGCGAATGAACTTACATATCCCGTATATAAGAGAATATGCAAACCACAGGTGGCTGACATGCTTGTCTAATAGCCAAATCCCGACTTCTTTAACAACTCGCAATGAATAGTTAGGACAAGAGAATCACAATTATGACTATCTGCAATACAAGAAGATCACTGAGTTGTGAACAAGAATCAGCATGCATTTCAGAATGATAATTAATGTGTAATGGCGAGAATTGAAAAGTCTGCTTTTCTATAACACTACTTGATTATTTATATTTATTCCAACAACTTTTTTAAGTGTAAGAAATAATTTTCTAATGCAATGTGCATTCAACTTATGTCACTCCTGTTATAGAAAATGTGTATACAATTAAATTATACTATATTGCTTTAAATCTAAATCATGTAAAAACAGAACAAATATTAAGCAAAATCGATGCACTGAGTGACGTAGATCTGCATGAACAGAAAATGCAATCCGAACCTTGTGTAATCACAATTTTCTTAAGACATATTTGCTCCCTCTCGGTGCTCAAGATTGGTGAGTAACTGTCTCCCAAGATAGAACGAATTTTGTCTTTGTAGAGGTAATACTTCAATCTCCAAAAATTAGCAAACACAACTTGTGTTTGTACTTGAATCGGACAATAAACAGAATGTAGAAAGAGAGATAATGTACCAATATGCAGAAATTCGTCTGTTGAATTCGTATCTAGAAATGGAAGAGAGGAAATCTATTTACAGACTCTTCGTGTCTATTTGGATCGCTTAAAAGAACACACCCAGTGCTTGTTCGGATCGAAGAAACGGACCCTTTGATCTGAACGGTAACAAATGGAAAAGCCCTTCAAGCCGAATAGATAAGAACATGAATGATGCCAAATTTGAATTCTAACAGACAAAAAAATTTGAATTTCAATTGGAAGGGTGAGACTAATCTGCAAACTGGACTGTTCGGATTGACCCACAACTTGCACCGCACCAAATGAATTTTGTCCCAAAAAATTATACCTTTTTTGCCCAAGCCCAAGAAAAAGTGCGGTACCTCTTGGGATCCAACCCATGAAGTCAACTAAGAGTATATTAACTCACTAAAGTGTTAGTCTTTTTCTAATGTGGAAGAAGTTTTGTTCTACTATATTAATCTTAGTTTATTTCACCACTTCATATGGATCACTTTGAAACATAATTTCTCATTCAAATCTTAATGGTTTTGGACAAACAAATATAATATACCACGTTAATCTCCTCACGAAGGAGAACGCGTTTAAACTTGATCCCACTAATTTTGAGGTGTGGGTCCCACTTCACTGCAAACCCAAAGTTGCTTAAATACACTTTGACAAAACCATTTTTTCCAACTATCCTCCACATGAATAGAAATTCAATGTATGACAATCCAGACACTAGTTCAAGTACAGGGAAAATATTACTGCATCTGGACAAGTAGACAGTGGCCTTGAACTTTCTGTAGTAAAAGACTATGAAATTTACTTGGCTAATCAATGGACATAACTTTGAACTGTCAGTCGTTTGTGCGAACCAAGACAATAGAATTCACACAGCTTCCCTTCAAACATAGTTGGTTCTCACGTTTGTGTACGTTTTGGCCTTGAACACCAATTGATTTTATGAGTAATATAAGAGTAATCAACCTACGATTCTCATAAAAGTGGTCACTTCTTCACACACATAGGTGATTTCTAATTAAGAGTATCGTGTTATACCCCACTTAGACATTTCCAAGTCACAGAATACCATTAAAAGCATAACTTACCTTGTTCTCGCGGCAAATGTGCATTGGCTCATCATAGGAATGGGAATAAGTTTAAAATCTCTTCTGTGCGTACTAAGTTACACAAAATTTGGTTGTCCCTTTGAATTTAAATCTTGGGGTCTCTAGTTAGCTAAGTTAGGTTGTCATTATGGTGACTCTTGGTTAACTAATAGACTTTAAGCCCATTACTCTTGATGAACATTTCACTTGCTCTCTAGTCAAACATTTTATAAGTGGATCCTCAATAAATCTTTTGACTTCACATAGTCCAAAGACATAACACCATTAGAGAGCATTTGTCTAACAGTATTGTGTCTACAACGTATGTGTCTAGACTTTCTGCTATACATACAATTCTGTGTCATTTCAATCATAGATTGATTATCACAGTGAATGCATATTGCAAGCACAGGCTTTGGACAATTTGGAATATTTTCTAAGATACAAAGTAATTCTGCTTCTTCTTCAGCTTTATCAAAGGAAATAAATTCAAATTCCATTGCAGATCTAACATTACAAGTTTGCTTTGAGGATTTTCAACACACAACTGCACTACGCAAGGTAAAGACATCTACTCGTAGATTTTAAATCTTTAGTATCGGATATCCAATTAGTATCAGTATATCCCTCGAGTATTGTTGGGTACTTTGTGTAGTGCATACCATAGTTTTGAGAATGTTTTAAATATCCCAAAATACTGGTTATTACTTTCTAGTGGTCTTTCCTAGTATTACTAGAATATCGACTTAGCTTTCTCACAGATTATGCTATAACCAGACGGGTACAACTCATAATGTACAGTAAACTACTAATTATACGTGCATATTCTAATTGAAATATACTTTCGTCATTATTCTTCAAAAGATGGATATTAACATCAATAGGTATTCTCATAGGTTTTATCTCATACTTTTCAAACTGATCAAGTACTTCATCAATATAGTGACTTAAGATAACGTGCGCCCATTTGACGTTCTAAAAATTTAAATTCATAATATAACGTCAGTAACACATAGGTCTTTCATTTCAGACCTACTAGTTTGAACCCTTTAGGTTATTCCATGTATATTTCTTCATCTAATTCATCATTTAAGAATGTTGTTTTTACATCTATTTGATGTATTTCAAGACCATTTAATGCAACTATAGCAATTGACATCTATACGAAAGTAATTCTAGAAACTGGTGAATAAGTGTCAAAATAATCTAATCCTTCCTTTTATTTATATCTTTTGGCTACAAGTCTAACTTTGTACTTGCCAATGGAACCATTGGCTTTCATCTTCTTTTTAAAAATCCATTTACAACCTAAAGATTCATTACCCGGTAGAAGATCTACCAATTCTCATGTATGATTTCTCATAATAAATTTAATTTTTGAATTAACGACTTTCTTCCAATAAAGAGCTTTGGGAGAGGACATAGCTTATTTGAAACTTTGAGGATCATTTTCTGATAGATAAGTTAGAAAATCAGAACTAAATGACTTCGAAGTCTATCCTCTTACTACGTCTAGATTCATATTTAATGAACTCCACGTCTTGATCATTACTAGTTGTAGCCTCAATTGGTCTTTTTAATGGACTTAATTGATGTAAAATATTAAATGAAAAATTATTTTCAAAGAATGACTCATTCCTTGACTCTATAATTGTATTATTATACATATCAAGAATCTTAGATTTATGAATAAGAAATTGATATGCAATTGATATGCACTACTGTTATGGGCATAACCAATGAATATATAATCAATGATCTTTGGTCCTATCTTAACTTTTTTGGGCTTAAGAACTGCCACTTTTACTATACACCCCCCACACTTTTAAGCATTTATAGGAAAGTTTTCGACATTTCCATAATTCATATAGTGTTTCATTAATTTTCTTATGAGACATCTTGTTAAGAATACAATTAACAGATAATAAGGTTTCTCCCGTACAAGTTTTGGGGTGCTCCCAAACTTGACAACTTAACATTCATCATTTCTTTCAATGTTCAATTTTTGCATTCAGCTACGCCATTTCATTAAGGTAAATAGGGGCAGTTGTTTGGTAAATGATTTCATGTGTTAAACAAAATTGCACAAAAGGAGATTCATATTCCACACCCTTATCACTTCTTAATGTCTTTATCTTTTACTAAGTTAATTCTCAACTTCGTTATTATAATACTTGAACTTATCAATAGCCTCATTTTTAATACTTATTAAGTAAACATAACAGTAACTTGTGCAATTATTAATAAAAACAATAAAATACTTTTTACCATCTCTTGTTTGCACAATTATCACTGTGAATTAATGCAAGAGGTTTGGTACTTCTTTCAACCGACTTGAAAGATGTTCTTGCCAATTTTGACTCCACACAAGTTTGACATTTATGATTTGGATCAATAAACAGCTTAGGCAAATCATTCAAATTAACTAATGTTCTAATTGCATCATAATTAACATACCTTAGTCTAGCATGTCACATACTGGAAGACTCAAACAAGTAAGAAAAATTTATCTCATCTTTATTAATAATAGACTTTAGTACAACAGTCATTACATTGAACTTGAAAAATCCATCATCTGTGTATCCCTTTCCTACAAACATCTCATTCTTACTGAATACAAATTTGTCAAATACAAAGACTAACTTAAAGCTATTTTTACTAAGTAAAAAATTGAACACTAGATTCTTGCGACTGTCAGGGTCATGTAGCACTTCATTCAAGATAAGTTTCTCGTCAAATGTCATCTTGAGTATAACATTTCCACAGCCTTCAACCTTTGAAGCGGAGAAATTTCCCATGTAGAGCTGTTCATCATGCTCTATCTTCTTATAAGTAGAAAACATCCACTTCTTTGAACAAATGTGTCGAGTAGCGTCAGTGTCAACCCACTACTCCTTGGGGTTACCACCAAGTTACATTTAGAAACCACTGCAGAAAGGTTCATGCCGAAGACTTCCATTGAAAGCTTGTCCGAGTTAATCATGTTTGTTTGTGCATCATACTTCTTGAAATTCTTTGGCTTATAACAGTCTTTTGAGATATGCCCCGATTTACCATAGTTGTAGCATTTGTCCTTAAATTTCTTCGATCTTTGATATTCTGTATTACCAAACACTAGATAAAATTACGTATTATTCTAATACCCTATTTAATCTTATCTTTTATCCATCGGTATTGTATTAAACTATATTATTTTATTCAATCCATCCATTTCTAATACGACAATCAAACGAGCCCTATATACATTATATAATGCATTGTCTAACCCATTGAGGATGTAATTTCTACACAAAAAATTTGAATGCTTCCAAGCATTTACAATAGTCACTTTTTTCACATTAGTTTCATTCCTATCAAGAGAAAAAACATTCTCATAGAGAAACATTGCAAGGTTTAAGGTTAGATTAAAAAACATCTTAGATTGCCAACGTTTAAACTCCGAGTCATTGAACTTCTCGGGCTTCTCCCCATGAGACACTCTCACAGATGTAGGAACAACTGTTGTGTATGAACAACAACAAAAGGAATAGTACTTCATGTTGTCATTTCTGTTACACAAACAGAAGCAAATTATTTAATACAAATAGAAGCAACACACTTAACTTAATTCAACAGTCTAACAGAATACACAATTTTGATTTGGGAAAAATAGTTATTGATTTAATTAAAACTGTAATATTGCACTAATGTAACATAATACAAAATTTTGATTGTGATAAGTATATCAATTAATCAAAGTAAAACAGTAACAAAATATAAAATTATGTTTAACTTATAACAGTAATCACCCTAATTGTATAACATTCAAAAGGAAATCTGTCAAAAGATTGTTATAGAAAATGTGTATGTAATTAGACTATATTATACTGCTTTAAATCTAAATAATGCAAAATAGAATAGAAATTAAGTAAAATCAGTGCACTCACAGTGACAGATTGCACGAACAAAAAATTAGAAAATGCAATCCGAGCCTTGTGTAACCACAATTTCCTTAAGACAAATTCGCTCCCTATCAATGCTCAAGGTTGATGAACAATTGTACCCTAATATAGAATAGATTTCATCTTTGCAAAGGTAGCAGTTCAATCTCCAAAGACTAGCGAACACAACTTGAGCATATAAACTAGAAGTATATTCATGCTCCAATCCATGAAACCAACTAGGAGTATATTAACTCACTAAAGTATTGGTTCTTCCAATATGAGAAAAATCTTATTCCACTACACCAACCTAAGTTTATTTCACCATTTCAAATGGGTCACTTTAAGAAATAATTTTTCATTTAAATCTTAATGATTTTGAAAAAATAAATATATCACATTAATTTCCTTGCGGAGGAGAACGCGTTTAGACTTGGTCCCACCAATTTCGAGGTGTGGATCTCACTTTAATGCAAAATTGCTTACACTTTGGCAAAACCATTTTTTCCAACAACTCCTCGAGTATGGAAGCGAGTTGCCATCCTAAGCATACCACCAATAATAGGAAATCCAAAATCGGCCACAATTCTTAAAAAATAATGAACATAGAAAAACTTGCTTATATATAGGCTACCTCCCTGCTTGTGCAGAAAGCGGACTGGTGATTGACGTTGATCTCCTATGGCATATCCACATCCTTTTCTCCCTTAGGGGAATGGAGAATTCAAAACATGATGAATTTTTCAGCTCATGCTCCCTAAGCTTGTCAAAGCCGTATCAATCAATTCCCCTCTTTTCTTTCTGATAATTCAGCGTGCAATAAGTGCAAATTTCATTAACTAATGAAATAACCAATAATATACAGTCGTCTTCACAAATCTTATTGATTACTCATCTGATTGTCAGAAAGATGTTTTCAATATAACAGGCCAAATGTGTCAATTAGGATACAGAGATAAGCATACTTCACTACAATAGTTCCTAGGGGTGGCAATTTCGACTCAACCCAACGACACGACTCAAACTCGACACGAATTTTATGACACGAACTCGATTATAACTCGACATGAACTCGAAAATGACTCGACACGTGAACACAAAATATAAATGGGTTATATTCGAATTCAACCCGCTAAACCTGAAATTGATACAATCAACCCGTTTATTTAAAAATTGACACTTTTTCTATTTTTTCGTTTATATGATAACATGAACAACACGAAATTAACACAATCAACATGTTTAATTAGTATTATAAAAATAAAATATTAATTATTCGTAATTGTTTATTAGACACTGACATAATTATTGTATAAAAATATATTTTTACTCATTATTATTATTATGTTTATTAAATTAATTTTTAGTTTGTAAAAAAAAAATGAGCATGAATTCAATTAAGTGAAAATATAATTTTAGCATTAAATTTTTTATTCAAAATTTATGTGGGTCAACACAAATACGAACAAAAATATGACACGAAAATAAACAGGTCAACTTGACACGACACGATTATTTAAATGGATTGGGATAGGGTTGACTAATGTTTCACACAAACCCGCAATAACCCGATACGAACCCGAAACGACACAACTCGATTGCCACCCCTAAGTTCCGTCAAGCTTATTTGCTCTTTGGAAAGATGTAGAAGGGAAAACTGAGATACATTACTTGTAAGAATAGAGAATTAGAAACTTACCAGTTTGTGTTTCAACTCAGAAATTGCCAGCTGTCTTTGATGTGCAAAAAACTTCAATGACTGGGACAGAAAGAAAAGACAAAGATTAATTCAATCCTCATATCCACATGTTCGCATACATGTTAGATTTTGCTGCAAGAGTGAAAAGACGACATGGTGAGAAAACAAGAATGGCTCTACTCACTCCAATTCTCTGCATTTCAAGAGACCGATTTAGTGCTTCTCTTTTATTCAAAAGATCCTGGGGCACCAACTTGACAGGGCGTCTGTAGTTCTTCCCACGGTACATAATGATAGCATGGCCTTCTTTCAGCTTGTCTACCGAAACTAGTATACCACCACTTTTTGCCTCAAGGAGTTTTGCAGTAAACATGACCTGTGAAAACATTCTCTGCATTGTGATCACCTTCACGATTTCTCTGTGCTTCCAATGCTGATGCAAGCCTTCTATAACACCATCAAAAACCCCACGCCTTCCTGAAGCCAAAGTTGAATAAAAATATTTACATCTGATCTACGGATGAGAGGAAAATAACGTTTAGGAACTAAAAGCAGCAAATAATTACAAAAACAGGGCTTAGTTTATTCCGATTAATCATTTCCAGACCAAAATCTGTTTGACATATCACAGCATCTGTTGTTTCAATTGAAATCTGTGACAGAAGGTAGGTTCAACTCTTTCTCCATCTTACACAGGTTGCTAGTCTATAATCTCCCAGTCTACGGGAGGTGGATGCCTTGTGATGAGGATTTGTTGACCCCAGTGTCCAGACAAAAGCCCTCATAAGGAGAAGAGAGATGTGTGGACCTGTCAACAGTTTCATCTTACCAGTTCAACCATCAGAATTGGAGCTTCTTTGAGAGAGTTCCATCAAGGCAATGACCCAAATGCCCAGTTGACAAATTTCATCGAAGAACTCGCATTTAAAATCTGAGTTTCTCATGATTTGACAACACATCCTCTGGGCGTTGACTGCAAAATATTACAAGGATTTGTCATTTGTTTCTCTCCGTATTGATTGGATGGCAGCATGTAACTAGAGGATGATCTCCTCTTGTTTATGGTGATGTAATATTTATGATGTATTTCCCTCTTTTATTTCCCTCATAGGGTGGATTTCTTGTCCACCACTTTGTACTTTTGTCATTAAATATTTCCTATCAAAAAAAAAAAAAACATGACGACAATATATATCCTCTAACTAAAACTCGTATGTGACAAAAAAATGTAGTTATTTGATTTATCAATGTACGTTCAAGGCCATTCCATAGGAGTTCTTTCATATGAAGACAAGCTTAAGCAATGTCCACCACTATTTTGAGCGTGAGTACCTGTGATATTCATGGTTATAAGACTGTAAAGCAACCCCATGGTGTGTGTTTTTTATGTACTTCGTAAGGAATCAAATGCAATTTTAAGGGAAGTAAGTGATTAGCTCTAGTTCGAGCTAAAACTCATGAGCATCAAATTTTTCAGCATATGGCAAATGGAAAGTCTACTTTCTATGCCCATATCAACTAAGGAAGAGGTGTTTTAGAGGAAATTTAAGTCCCTTGGTCTCTCTCCAATGTTTTCCCAATGACATATTTAAGAAAATTAAAAGGAAAACAAAATTCCTAAGAGTGGCCTCAATAGTTTTATATCTTATCAGTTTGTTTTATTATAAATTATGGAGCATTTGTCATCCAAATTTAATCTGCTTTCATTTCCAATCAGAGTGAAGAAAGGAAATGTATGAGCCGTAATTGCAAAGAAAATGGCTGCTTTAATAGTTGAAGACCTGATATGCATATGAGTCCTCCAAAGTGTTCAAGGAAGGAACCCTGAGGTTTGTGGCTTCATCCTAACAATTTCTCAATAGAAACATTAAGACAAAAAACTAAGCACAGAAACTAGAAGAAGATAAATAAAAATGCAGAGCAACAGGAAGTTGTAGAATCATTGACTTACTATACCGATGGCTTGTGGCGTGTATCCCTCAAAATTAAACCCTTGAAACTTTGGCATGAAATTGATCTTTGACGAGCTTTAAAAATTTTTTGTCAAATAAAATTGAGTTCAGTGTTTCTTTTGAAAAATTTCAAAGTGACTTTTCATTTCAATTCCATAAAAATATAACCTACTTATAGTAGTTGCGAAATGAAAGCCTATACGCAAAACTAAAGCCAAAAACATTTATGGGCATTGGCCAAGTACTACTTCAAGAAACCAAGAACTCTGAGGCTCAAGACTCCATGAATCTCAATGGTCTAATCACCACAAATTTTCAAATATCCATGAATTTAATCAGCTTCCCCATCCCCAGAGTTTACAAGTACAGACTGCATTGTATCAGTCTGTCAGTCATTCAAATGGGGCCATTCAATTACACTCCGTACAGAAGTAACACCAATGAAACTAACTAATTTTTTGAGAAAGATCTTGCATACAAGAAGTCAGAGCTTTATTTACTTGCACATACCAGGAATTCTGCGATAGAGAAAATAACAAGATTCATCTTAGAATTCAGTCAAGCTTTAGGAAACTGCATAAAAATCGAATAGGAAGCTCCCCTAACCTGAAGTTCCACCAAGTTTTCCAGAGCTAATCTTGGTAGCTCATAAGCAAGGATCAAAATTTCGTTTCGAAATACCGTTTCGGTCAGCTCAAAAATGGAAACGTTTCGGAAACGTTACGGAAACGCAAAAAAAATATGGAAACGCATAGAAACACAAATACAATCCATTAATTTATAAAGATATACTAAATAATTGATTAATTCAACATATTTATTGGGTTAACATCCATTTATACAAGAATAAATTTAAATTTGAGGGGAAAAAAGGCTTGACATGAGGCGAAAGTCACTTAAATTAATTTCAAACACTTAATTTTTATGAAATAAACACATTTTTACATAATATTAAAATCTTATAATACACATGAAATGCTAATGAGTACATACTTACATGGCTATATCTATCCCCCTGTGGAGTATCGAGCATGCTCATACATCGGTGTAGGCTCGGAGTAGCTACTTAGAGAAACTCCATATGTGACATAAATATGGCGACAATAGTTACTCCAACTCATATTATTACAGTAATATTATCTAATTAATAATACTATTTATTATAATACTAATAATGAAGGGTATCAAATTAAATTAATGGTACCTATGTATACTTAAAAATTAAATGTAATTGTCATGGGTATTAAATGTAATTACAGTGGGTATTAAATATAATTACATTAGGCTATTAAATGTAATTGTTAATACTTATAACCAAAAAAAAAAGCAAAAGACTTGCACAACAGTGAGGTATTAAATATAATTACAGTAGGTATTAAATATAATTACAATGGGTATTAAATATAATTACAGTAGGGTATTAAGTGTAATTATTTATTCTTATAACAAAAAAATTATAAAAGACAGAAGAGCCGTGGGAATTAAATGTAATTCTAGTGGGGTATTAAATGTAATTATAGTGGGTATTAAATGTAATTACGGTGGGTATTAAATGTAATTATAGTAGGGTATTAAATATAATTATTCATAGTAAACCAAATATATCACTGTTTCGTTGAAACGGTACTGTTTCGATCGAAATGGTCCGAAACAGTGCCGTTTCCACCGAAACGGTCCGAAACAGTGCCGTTTCCACCGAAACACTGGAATTTTGTGATTCAACTACTGTTTCGTTTCGGAGTGTTGAAATTCCGAAACGTTTCGGATGTGTCGACACGACATTTTGATCCTTGCTCATATGGTAATTAATATGCAAATATATTATTAGACTAAAGAAAAAACTACTAATGAACATTAACATCCATGAGTGTCAATTACCGACAGATAGAGAATGAAATAGACAGATGAAAAAGACAATTTCATCTATGCAAACACAAATTCAACAACGAAAGCATCACCAGCAAAACTTTCTTTGACTGTGTCATATCTAAGTCCTTAGATTTTTTAATACTTTTAATCCCTAGACTGGAGGAAAAGAACATGCAAAAAGGGAAATTTTGCAAAGAACAAAACTCTTGCTTACCAAGCACTAAAATGCTATCCATCTTTAATCCTATCTTCCGAAAGCATTCCCTCTCCTCTTGTGTTATTATTTCTTGGTCTTCGTCCTGCTCAGCGTGTCTCAATGCAGAATTCAACTTTCCTAACTCCTTACCAGACCTCTCTATCTTCTTTTTGATCTGCACAACTCCACATTAGCGCATCTTTACTATTCAACAGCAGATTACAAAAACGAAATAAGATAATAGCTAGAATCTTACGATGAAAAGCTTGTGCTCTTGCTTTCTCAGTTCCTTTTCTAGTCTCTCTTTTTCAGCTTCCAGTTGAACTTCAACCCCTCTATTTCCAACTTTAAGGTCTCCACATTCTGATTGAATATCCTGGAATTCTGATAAAGTTCCAATAATGCTAGTGTTTAGTGATGGTTCATCAGTCACACAAAAGGTTTCAACTGCTTTTAGCCGTGCAGCTTCTTCATGAAATTGGCATCTCTTAAGCTCCAATTCTCTCTCCACTACTAGGTTTGCAACTTGGCTAGGAAGAAAGTCCTTGCCTCTATAAATTACTATAAAGAACTTATTACGCAATAACAGAACTCCTCCCGTAAGATTCTGCAAAAAACATCATTACTTTCATGAGTTTCCCATCAGTACATTTCTTAAAACACTACAACAATGAAAGTATCATACACCATTCAACAAGAGGCCATGTTTGATTCACCACTCACCCAATAGTAAGAACATGTATAACTTAGTTAGAAAGGTTCTCATTTTAACTTAATAATATTTTAATTACTAGCACACTGCCAATGCAAATAGGACAATGAATTAAATAATGCGTTCAAGCTTCTCATTTGTTATTTAACTAAACTAATGGAAAGGATAACAAATGTTAATGTAAAACTATGCAAAATACTTTTATACAAGGAAGAGACTACTAGTACTTTCAAAGGCAGGTACATAACTAAATTATCTCATAAAGGCCCTACTCAGTTTATATGAGAGCCACCCACTGCATCATGCATTTTCTTCTGAATCCTTCTAACATGAAGACTCGCAGCATTACTGGTTGCAATATTATATCCATTCCATATATTGTGTAATTTCCACTCCCCCCATTGTGACTCCTTTATGCATGGAAACAATTAATTTCACATGCTGTAAAAAATTAGTTGGCATAGTTTCAACCAGTATTTCACAAAATGAAATTTCAGCTGGCAATTTTGATAACTATATAGCAGACTAGATATTTGAAACCTTTTTGCATTTCAGGGAGATGAGAAAAAATTATCCTTGCCGTCTTTAAAGTGGTGTTTACTTCTATAGGTTTCGGTCATAATACAAGATGAAAGATTTAATAGACAAATGTGTGTGCAAGTGTATTTCCTATATGCTCACTTCATCCATCTCTTAGTTTCCATGACTTCACAGAGGCAGCACATATGTAGCATGTGACATCCGAAGCATTTAACGCACTGTCAAAAAAATGTACACTAGTAGTCAATTAGAATGTGCCTAAAATGAATTTCCACTACAATTGGTAGGGTCACAATCAAGTCGTGTTATCTAGTGTTCTGGTTGTGTCATTTCAAATTTGTGTTGAATAATAGTCAATACTAACCTGACCTGTTTAGTTCATCATGTCAGGTGGCTTAACACTAACCTGACCTATACATCAGTCGCATTATGTTGGGATTACCATGTATAATCTGTGAAACCATAAATCCACAATTAGGACCCCTTTCTCTCAACCAAGCCAACCAAATTAAAAAAATTACTCTGTTCAAATGTTTGCAAAATCAAGCTAAAAATTCCTATATATTTGCAAGATTCTTATGCTAGTAGAGTGATCAGCTTATTTCATGGTAATCCCACTCATCTATTTCAAGTTAGCAGGAATGCCATTTTTTAATTCCTGTCGAGACATAGTTAATCCTAACCCACTAATTTTTCATCGGGTTCGTCACATGTTAACGTATCATGTTGAAAACTTGACACCCCTCAATAATGGTTTCTCAACGAGAACCATTCTGTCATCTCAGGGAAAGATTACACTAATGAGTTTGTGACTGCACTTTATGCACACTCATGCATACTTTATGGTGGCCAAGCTTGTTACATCTGAACAGTTAACCTATTCTCTATGCCCACCTTCTGGTGGGGCCTAATAACTAGCCAACGAATTGTGAAAGTAGCACCGACATCACCCACTATCATAAAACCTATCTTGTTTCATCCGCAAGAGGGAAGAATAAGAGATTTGAGCCCAGATTGTATGTGAGCAACAAACTGCAGGTGGTACAATTGCATGACAAAAGGCACCAACCATTAGTGCACTGGTAAGCTTCCCAACATAGCAACAGCAAAACAGATTCTGGAATAACATGAATGATGAATTTCAGGCATACGCAGCCTGAAAAATCTCGTTATGAAACTTGCCTTGAGCTCATTTGCCATTTGCTCATTGTCCGTATTCGGAATTCCCCACTTCACAGCAATCTTTGCTATATGACATTTTTCCCATAGTTTCAAGAGGGCTGCAGCCAAGCCTTGAAGTTTTCTGTTCCTCCCTGCCAGAAAATATCACAAAATTATAGTAGAAAGCATTGAAAATAACAAGATGCAGATGTGAGAGCATTCCCCTGAGCACAACCTATAGTGCACAGCCTTGTGTATTTAATAGCACTTATAAATTTCATAACAATTGTTCAGTCACATGGATACGCTTGATACACCCATTATTCTCTTCTCCCATTTTTCAAATCATTCAACAAATTTTGAAATTTATTAAAGTGTATTCTTCCAATAATCTGGTGAAACAGACATAAGCATTGTATTTTGACAGGAAAAACAGGGAGTTGGAAACACTCATTCCCAATATCTGTTTGGGTGAATTTAGTACGTATTGAAACAGATGTTTATCTATATTTTGATGTGCATGATTGCATGCACAAGGCCACGGATAGAAAAAAAAAATGATGCAGATGCCTTGTTGTAAGTTTCTGGACAAAATGCATACAAGCATGATATGTTCGCCAAAAAGATTGTGTGAACGTGAGTGGACCCATTTGTATGTGTCTACATTAATGACACCAAGATTGTGTAAAATACAAGAAAGCAATGGCTAAGCTCTTGAAGTGCTGAGTATATATTCACTTCAATCGTACACTAGTTTATACATGAAGAAATACATCAAATTATATAATTTAAAAGTTATAGCTCATAAATGGCTAGAAAAGTACCAAGGACAAAATGAATAGGTAAAGGACGGGCAAGCTTCCTCAAGTATGTCAGTTCATCATCTGTCAGCTGTGATCTAGTACAGGGTGGGCAAAGCCTAAATGGCACCTTGAATCCAGGAACCACTTCTGGAAGCAAATCGGCATCTACTGGCAAAGGCTTTTGCATCCACCAATCAACAAATCGGGGTCCCAAGCCATCCAGCAATCTATTAGCTTCCCGCTCAAAGAGTGATCCATTAACTAGTATAGTCTCCTCACCGTCCATTCTGCCCATCCTTTCATTTACAGTACATGCATTTATTTTTACTTGAGAACTAGTAATGCTCGCTTGGTGACGGATATTTGAGGAATATTTTTTTCCACCAATAGCTAAGCCATGATGCACCTTCGAATAGTTATTCAAACCTAACTGATAACTGAATCCTCTATAGACTACAAGCACATCCTTCTTAATCCACACAACTAAGCCTCCAGTCTTGATCTGCAATACAAATTTAATGTTTATCAGAAAATACTAAGGAAAAAGACCAGGCACACTGAAACAAAAGACAAGAAGTGCAGATGGTAAAAGCAACTTCAGGAGAGGGGATCCGGAACCAGGTAAGTTCTCCAGGTTCATCTAACAAAAGAAGCATTTTGGAAAGGACAACAGTCTATGTCAAAATTAAAACTCATAAGAAGCTCAAAATAAGTAGGTCCAATGAGAAAAAAATTCCATAAGTATATCAAATCAGCATCTGAAGAGGTTGGAAACCATAACATTGCACTACATATACACATAATGAAAACGTTATGCTAAATGAACGTACTCTTCCAATAACTAGTATCATATGGATCTTGCTTGTTTCCAGAGGCAGTATTATAGAAGTACCAGTTGCATAGCATGCAAAAAGGTTATAACACACACACACACACACACACACACACGTTGAAATAAGTGAAACAGAAAGAACGCTTATACTCTTCCAAAGACTAAAGATGCATTAGCATTGTAGAAACTACTTTCTCTATATTTCCAGCTGAACCATCATATACCAAGGTATAATGCAAGAAACATGGATCTCTTTCTCTAGATTGACATTTCCCAAACAGGAACATAGATGAAGTCGGAACAAGACGACAAAATTGATGACCAGTGTATGAGTGCATGATCTAAACTAAAATGAAAAAATTTAAGAAAGTACACCAACCCAACCTCAACAATCTCTTGTGCTCTGTCCATATTCCGACACAAGGGCATATCAAATCTGAGCATGGCAAGCTCGTTACTCTTCCAAACTAAATGAATCTGATCAACAACAGCTTGGGTCACCCCAGCTTTCTTAACCTTCACCCACTTTCTCATCCTTGCAGCCTCATTCCTCAACCTCTCAAGCAACATCCCATCAAGACTCAATTCAGCAGTACTCACCACTTTCTTTTTCTTCATTCTCCTAAAGACTATCCTGTCGTCTCTCTCCCAAGGCATTTTCCTACAAATATTCGACTTCCCATCTCCTTCGAGCTCTCCCAGAGAAAAAACAAGTCCAGTATTTTCTGGGCTCTTCTGGTCCTTGTCTGAATTTTGCTTCTCTGTCCTCTGAAACGCCATTCTATTGTCTTTCTCTGTCAATTTCTCGCCAAATGTGAAACTTCGATCTCTTCCAGCCTCTCTCAATGTACAATCAAGTTCTATCCCTTCTTGGCTTTCTTCTGAATTTTGGGTTTCTCGAAGTTTTCCAATTCCTTCGAAAATCTTTCTCATTGCCTTCTTCCCCCTTCCCCCGCTAACCTTATCTGTTAATGACCCATTAGGCCTTTTGGATTCGCCTTTGATAATCTTCTTCTTGTTCCTTTGTTTGGAGAGGTCCAAGACTTGATTGGGTTCAAGTAAAAGAGGACCCTTCATCCATGGAGCTATGGGAATTCTAATGACCGAACCGCCACGCGAAATGGATTCCAACGAGGATGAATCATCTGGGTTTGTGGATTTAACGCTTCTGTTGTTGTTTATGATGTCGCTGTCACTGCTGGAGTTGACGGAGGATTGGGTAAGAGAGGTGGTAAAAGTAGCTACTGGTAGTTTGGAGGCTGGGATTGATTTGGGCTTTTTCAGAGAATTGTGGATTAGGGAGAGTGAGATGGGAATGTAGGAGTCTGAAATTGGGTTGGAGTAGTACGGAAACTGGTGAGTGTTTGACAGAGGAGGAGGAGAGAGAAAGAAAGTGGAAGACATCGGTGCAAAGAGAGAAAGTTGGTCGGAGTTTTATGCTTACCTTCCTGGTGCTTGGAAGCAGGTCATGGAAAATCAGGCTGCTCTCCTGAGCTTGCCAATTTTGAAAACCGGTAGAACCCTTATCTCCGATATAACATCTGCGCTCGTGAATCTCATATTTTGGATTAATAAATTTTTTTTTTCTTTCGCACACCCTCTCTGCCTTTCCCATTTTCTCTTCGTCTCTCTCCCTCCCTCTCTCTATTTATGATGATTGACAAATTAATTTTTATGCAAAATCAACAGTGAAGCGTATGAATAAGTGGAGTTAATATGAATAGGTGGAGTTAATGAGCAATAAATAAAATAATCAATAATAAAGCTGTAAATAAGGAGTCAACACAGAGAATTATAGTAGTTCGGTCCGGATGACCTACTCCATTCTCAAGAACGACAGCGATGGCCTGGATTTTTTATTAATGAATAAAGTCGCTAGAGAGTATTCTCTAGGAGTATTACAGTGCTTTGGAGAGAGAGAGAAGTGTGTGTGTAAGAAGGTGTAGTGTGTGTAAGAATCTCAAAACTATGAGAGCATGTCCTCTAAATGTAGAGGAGTTACATTATATAGGCACACAAAGGCGATGAGGTGGTGACGTGAAGAATGGGTCTTCCACTATCTTGGTAAGTATAACCTTAGTAAGAATGAATCTCCGCATCCCGATATTCTCTTGCTTGCATCCTTATTCCGTAAGAGGATAATCTTGAGCTGGGCTAATCCTGATTTTGAGCTTGAACTTGGAGTGGTATGGATATGGACTTGTATTGGAGTGGAAGAGAGGGACAGGGAGGCAAGCCATGGGCGTTGGCCTTTGGCTTGGACTTCACTTGACTCCTTCTTAACTTGTGAGCAGATCCAATTCTTTTTAGGCTCTGGTAATTGGGACTCCTTTTTGGGTTGACCCAACTTTGATTTGAGCTTTCTTTTGAACTTTCTCGATTTATTTTTATTGGACCTGACTCAGTCAATTTTGGGCTCATCAATTACTTTCTCATTATCTCTCCCCTATTTTTTCTTCATCTCTATCTTTTTTCGTTTCAAATATGTAAATATTTAATTTAATTTTTGCATCTCTCTCTTCATATTTTCTCTCACCATTACTATTTCTTTAGCAATACAATTACACTAATTAATTATAATTATTATATAATACACCAAATAGTTACTCATATATTCTAATAAACTAAACAATTAAATCAAACAATTACACAAAATTATGATATCAATCTAATTTGTCAGTTGTTTGCATAAACCAAAGAATTGTACCATTTAGTATCATGATATGGTTACACCAATTATATACACCAAAATTAATATAACAATAACTCATTTTGTGTAATGATAAACCCAATTTAGTATATATAATTGGTATAACCATGTCGTTATACGAAATGATGTAACTCTTTGATTTATGTAAACAACTGAATAACAAATTGTGTTAGTATAATTTCGTGTAATTGTTTAGTTTTATTAGAATACATGAGTAATGTTATGGTGTATTATAAGGTAATTATAATAATTAGTGTAATTGACTAGTATAATTGTGTTGTTGTAACGTTGATATAAAAAGAGAGAATAAGGAAAAAAAAGAGTAACGGCGAAGGAAATTAGGAGGAAAGATAGTGAGAGAGAGAGAAAAATAGGGGAGAAGGATGAAAGAATTAAATCAAATCTTTACATATTTCAAAAAAAAAATAGAGAGATAAAAAATAGAGATAAGAGAGTGAGAGGGTCATGGAAAGAGAGGGAGAGAGAGAATAGGGAATAGAGAGAGAGAAAATAGAGAAGAGAGATTGAGTGATGGAGAGAGAGGGAGAGAGAAAGTAATTAAGTAATGAATGACCCTTTAGTTTTTTTTCAAAAAAATACACTTAGGGCAAATTAAATTTTTTCAATGTAGTTTAGTTCAATTAAATACAAATTTTTATACCGGCTTCTAAATTTCCCTACTATTATTTAATGGGTGGAACTATATCCACCCAAACATTTATTTTCATCCCATTAAAATCTTAATTATAAAATTATTAAGATTACCTCTTTTATAAATACCTCATCATAGACTAATTCCACCCTATTCTTCACCTACCCTATTAATAACTAAATCTATTCCAAGTAAATTACATCTGACTCAAGCTATTTTATCTCAATATCTTCTCATTTTTTGGATTTTTTTTCTACACGACGTTTCACACACTTGAACGTCATATACTCAACTTGGTAATCTAACATGGATTTCTCAACTTGCAAAACCCATTAGCTGCAATACTACAGATTCGATACCATGGCCACACAAGTTAAGATCTTGGAATGGTGGCAGAACAAAATTGAATGATGTCTTAATTTCGTTTGCTCTAAGTGCCAAATGAGACTTATTTCACTTTTCTATAATAAGAATCATTTGCAAGTCATGAAATTTTATAGTTTTATTCCACATGATATTATGTTTTTGTGTTAGGAATTTTCTATTATGGGTTTGACCACTTCTTGATTTCTTTCCCACATAATTGATATGATGGAACAGTTCTTCTATAAATAAACAAAATAGTTAGCGGGATAAAAAAAGAACTTCAATTCAATCACTTGTTATTGTTAGGGCTTGATCTCTCTATCTCTATCTCTCACACACACACGAGACAAGATATTCTCTTCAAATGAACAAGTGGCAAATATGTAAATTTTAACTATGCATGGTGAGATTTGGATTTTAGTTTGGATTACATTTAATCATTAATGAGATGGATTAAGAATGGGGTAGGGTTAGTCTATAATATGGTGTGTATAGAAGGGACTAACTTATTAGTTTTATAGTTGGGACTTTAATGGGGTGAGAATAGCCCCACCCTTATTCAATTACTAGGTGATAAGCTCAAATTTTACTAGGCCAAACCCCATTTAAGTAAATCAAGAAAGCCCAAATTAAAGTTGGGTTAAACCATCATAGAGAGTTCGAAACACCAAAGGAGCCAAGAGGCCAGCGCTAAGGATCCCCAAAGAGGGGGTGCTGCCCAAGGGGCCCAAATGGGCGCCGCCCATGTGGTCTCCAAGTGGGCGCTGCCCATGGTCTGCCTCCATGTTCCTCTTCTCCCTTCTTCATTCCAGTGCAAGCCCAAGTCCAACCCACTCCAAGTTCAAGCTCAAAGTCAGGATCAACTCAGCTTAGCATCATCCTCCAACGGAATAGGGACACGAGCGAGAGAATATTGGGATACGGAGATCCAATCATACTAAATTTGTACTTACCAAAATGGAGAGAGCCCCCTTTCGCACGTCACCGCCTCACCGCCTTGGTGAATCTATATAATGTAAGTCCTTTGCACATAGAGGGCATGCCTTCGTGACCTGGAGACCTTTACAAGATCCCTACACATACTACACCTCCCTACACACATTACCCCCATCTCCTAAAGTATTGTAATACTCCCGAAGTATATTCTCCCGATTACACTATTCATCAATAAAGACTTTCGGTCACTGTTACCGTTCCTGAGAGTGAAGTAAGTTACCTAGACCAAATCACTATAAATCTTTGTGTTGATTGCCTATTTATTGCTTTAGCTCTTGATTATTGTTAATTGCTTGTTTACTGCTCATCGATTGCCCCCGTTCATATTCTTGACTGTTGATTTTGCACAATACCGATTTGTGCATCGTCAGTTTGACGTCGTCTATGAGAACTGACTAGTTTTCCTACTCTTTTAATCCATGATAATCATTACCAGATCAATGAGCCAAAAACCGAGAGTCAACAACCCAGCCCATCGGGAGGAGGCTCTGCCTCCCCTCACACCTATGGAACCATTCGCTACTACGACTCCCGCTGGGCAACAAAAATAGCTAACTCCAAACCATGTAGCTGCTAGTGAGCCAAAACCAATAGATCATCTAACTGATGCTCGCCTAAGGAGGCGTCACCCCTCACCCTATAGGAGGAGCCTCACTCCCTCTAACAGGAGAGGAGCAACAACCTGTCCTTTCCAGGAGATAGGCAGCCCCCCACCATGGGCCCCTCACCAGAACACTCCAAGGCCATGCCAGGGCGCTCCTCTCCAAGTAGTCCTTCCTCAACATGCAGGGAGTTCACGAGTTTCCCCTCCTCATGAACTGGTGCAGGAGAATGAAGATAGAGAAAGTCAATATGGAGACCATGAAAGCCAGTACCATCACCCGACTGAGGATGTCCCCAATCACTGGGACGAGAAGATTAGGGAGGTGCAAAACCAACTTGGTGATGCCCTCAACACCATTAAGGCACAGACACCTAAAACTGTGGACTACTTAGTAAGACGCATTAATACGCCTTTTATTGCTGGTATTGTTAATTATCCTCTGCCTTCAAAATTCAAGACGCCCACCATCAAGATCTTCAATGGCACCAAGGACCCACTCGACTTTCTTGACACATAATTCCCTCATGCAACTTCACAACGTGCTTGAGGAGATTATGTGTAAAGCCTTCCCTACCACCTTGAAGGGTTCTGTTCGCCGGTGGTTCTTCAAGCTCAGCCCCTCCTCTATCCGCTCTTTCACAGAGCTGAGTAGGTCTTTCGTCTCCCACTTCATCGGGGGACGCCGGTATCAAAAACCAGTGACCCATCTGCTCATTATCAAGCAGGACAGGGATGAAAGCCTTAGAGACTATCTTACCCACTTCAATGAGGAGATTCTCCAGGTTGAGGAGCTAGATGATAAGGTAGCTCTAAATGCCTTTATCGTTGACCTCCGCACCTCTAGCTTCATGTTCTCAGTCCTCAAGAAGTCGTCATCCAGCATGCCCGAGCTACTGTCTAAGGCCCAGAAATACATGAAAGCTGAGGACGTCACCAAAGCCCATAGAGGTGAGTCTTCCTGAGGGGGAAAAAAAGGAAAGAGAGCCGAGAAAACAGAAGGAGACCGAGAACAAGAGAAAGAACGTCGAAAGGGTCTCCATAAAAGACCATCTCGGACCACTGTCCCCGAGAGACTG